TCATCGTCATCGTCACCAAAACCATCACCTCACCTTCGGCAACAACAAGCATGACAAAGCAGCAGCATCAGCAGCACTAGCAGCAACAACAACGACAACAACAACAGCAACAACAACAACAACATCAACAACGACAACGACAACGACAACAACACCAACACCAACACCAACACCAGCACCAGCACCAGCAACAGCAACAGCAACAGCAACAGCCACAGCAACAGCAACAGCAACAGCAACAACAACAACAACCGCAACCGCAACCGCAACCGCAACCGCGACCGCAACCGCAACCGCAACCGCAACCGCAACCGCAACCGCTACGGCGACGACGTCAACAAAGACTACCGCCACCACCACCACCACCGCCGCCGCCGCCGCCGCCGCCCCCCACCCCCCCCTCCACCACCACCACCACTACCACCACCACCACCACCACCACCACCACCACCAACACCACCAACACCTCCATCTCCATCACCACTTCTGCTACCACTTGCCATTTGGACCAGCAGTGCCCTTGAAACCTCATGCTGACTTGAAGTCTTACGATGCTAGGGTTCTGGGTTAGGGGACTTAGGGGTTTAGAGGCCGGGGTTTCGAGCTGAGTGCTCCTAGTCTGGACCCAACTGCTTGCCGCTGGCCTGCAGGGTGTCCACCAACTCTGACCTAAGCAAAGATCTGTGCAACCCCACACTTTGCTATGAAGGGCCTTATCGGATTTCTGTAGGGTTTTAATCAAAAGGGTTATTTCAAGGGGTACTGTAAGGATTCTCGGGAGTTCGGGACATGGATTGAGAACTTAAAGACTTTGAACTTAAGGCTTCTGTCCGGGTGGCTGCACCGAGGTTCCTTTCAATCCTATGAAGCTTTGTAACGGTTTGTACACAGAGAGTAGGCATGGCATTTGATGGCACTTTGGCTAAGTTCAGATGGTCATGCACCTGTGACCCACCCTCAATCACTGCTCACAACCAGCCGCTGCCTGGGTCGGAAGCTCAGGCAGATTTGCTCTATCACGACATGGCTTAAACCTTGTAAGCCCTTCGCCTACTGTAAATTTGTCGCAAGACTCCGTGGATTACCGGGCTAATAAGCAAAGCAGCGGCTCTGTAATTGTAATTGTAAGCCCCTGGCACGTCAAAGCGAGAGCACAATGTCTGCGGGCTGATGCCTGAGATGCACACAGCTGTGAGGCTTACCGGGGTCAAGTTGGTGCTCTTATCACGAATGCTTGCTTTTCGGTGGACACCGTCGCAAGAATACATCTCTGTGGCGATAACGACTGCTGCTGCTGCTGCTGCTGCTGCTGCTGCTGCTAGCAATACGGCGACTGCGACTAACAACAGAACCAGCACACAAGTGCAATACTGTCATGCAGTGAGCTTTGATTGTTGTCCTTGCTGCGGCTGCTGCTCTTGCGGCTGATTGATCAGACTGAGAAAGCTGCTCATCTTATAGCACGAGGAGGGCCGCAGGCCCGTCTTGAGCCGTGAGCATGTAGCCTGCCGTAGTCTGCTCTCCTGCTTCTCACTCCTATCATGCTCGCTCTTCCGTCAGCTTTTCGCCCGACTGAGCCGGGGGGCGGTGCTGCCGCGCCCCGTGGTGCCGGGGCTGTCGTCTTTCGCCCGACCGTGCCGGGGGACTTTGCCGCATCCCAGGCCGGGGCTTGTCTTTCTCTCTTTAGCCGCATCCGGGGCCGGGGCCTTCTCCCCCTGGACAGACGCCAGGAGGCGATTCTTTTCAGGAGAACCTTGCGCCTGTGCCTCCTTTATAACACGAACTGACCTATGAACTAACCCACGGAGTCAGAGGCAACCCCAGTTAATCTTGCCCGACATCCGAACGATTCTGTACCTACTTTATTGGTAGAGGGACGGTGTATACGGAGTCTATTCACTCGCCCATTGCCATGTAAATCTGCTTCTCCACGTAGCAATCCACACATGTATGTATCGTCGCACCTAGTTGCGTATGTGCAAGCGTGTGCGCATTTGCTTTCGAGAATCCATGCACGGTCTCCTCCTGATTGTCACCATTGTCGACATGACATGGTCATGAACCTCATAAGGATTATGATGCTGATGGTGACGGTGATGGTGGTGATGATGTTGATGATGAAGATCCGGATGAAGATCCGGATGATGATCATGATGATGATTGTGCTGGTGGTGGTTGTGGAGGTGATGATGAAGTTGATGATGACTACGGTGGCAATCATGATCTTCATGGGAGCGAGGGGTAGACCTGTGGGTCGGGTTTTACTTGAGTTTTGAACGAAGTGCTTCCATTTCTCCGGTCAAGGGCCTTTGGGCCCAAGCTTTGGGGGTTTGGGGTCTAGGACCTATGCACTGGGGAGCCGCACTTTGCAGGTAAGCCAGCCAGCCCAGCGGAGAGCCTTTCCGCAACTCCTGTCAAGTATCAGAAGCTTTCACACTTCTACTCATTCTACTCTAATCTAACCCCCCCAAGGCTCTAACAACCCTAAAACACTATTGAAATTCTTATGCCTTATGCTATAACAATCTATACCTCCTCTCCTTCCAACACCAGCATTGTTCCACTTCTTAAAGCCCCTAAGGTCTTTTGATGGCTTTTGAGCCTGGCTCGTCCTTAGGAGTACCTTCGGAATCGTCAGAATGGCCATCAACTCATGTCAAGGCAGGTTGAAGGTTGAGGGGCTGAGGCTCCAGGAGTTTGGGGCTTAGGGTTAAAAGGTGTCGAGTTTATGGGCTGAGGGTTTCGGATTTTGGCTTTGAGAGCCGAGGGTCGACATATACGGTGCATGACTCAGTAAACTGCAGGGTCAAACGCAGTGGCTTGCGGTTCGATACCATGCGAAGGTCTAGACAAGCACTTCTGCTAGCACCTGCACGTGCTAAACCCAAAACTGCAGCACACTATCCACAGAGCAGCTTGGTAGTCTGAATCGCAGACCACCAATTCTTGCCACACAGCACTCTCAGAGCACCACTTCAAGCGCCCGCCGGCACACTAAACCCAAGCCCTCTCATCAAAAGCTTAATTAGCCCTAAACCACCCGAAACCCCAAACCAAAAAAAGCTCCCCAGAAGTCTAAATCCCGAAACCCAAACAGTAACAGCCCGGAGCAGACTGTAGCCTGAACCTCAAACGCGGAGCCTTGACAATCCGAACAATTTTTTGGGGATATTACACGACAACGGAATACGATTGGCTCCACTATTCCGACCGCTACCAAAACCCAAATACTAAACCCTGAAGCCCGAACTCTTAAATCCCCTGGCCCAAACGCGGCTCCTCTGCCACACTGGTGGGCTCCTCTTCCAGAAGATCCTCAAGCTCCTTCTCACTGAGGATGCTTCGGAGCTCCTGCAGTGCGGTTTTGGTCATTTTCTGCTTGTAAGTTCTCATATATATATATATATAACAGCCTAACTACTATATACTAATTTACGACCTGTTATTCTTCTTATTCCTGCTAGTTTTGTTATGTTGTAAGACTTGGGCTGCAAACTGATTGGGTGCGCACTTAAGGGCTTGATGAAAGCACGTAGATCTGCATTGACTGATGCATGATATGCTGACGACAAGTGAGAGCTGCAGTGGCGCAAACATAGATGACAGCGCTCTTCCCCGACGCTATCACGGATCGAGACTGAAACTTAACCGTAACCATTTCTCACCCAAGCAGAAACTGCCGGGGGGAAACCCAACGAGCCAAAATCAACGAAGGGAAGGCACGCCAGGCCGCAAGTCGCAAGGCTTTCTCGCAGTACGTATGTTTCATATGGGAAGAAGAAACCTCAAAGTCATGAGACCCCTTCCTAAAAGCCTGCAGAGTAGCCGAAACATCCCGAAGCGGGGGTCGTAAGGAACAAGAAGTTTCTAACCATTCAAGCAAACATGGCAGCTATTCCCAAACAGCGCAACTCCCCGAGATCAAACAAACCTTTGCAGGTGAACTATTTCTGAGTGCAAGGGCTTAGGGGTTCAGGTTTTCGGGCTTTTAAGGGTTTAACGTTCAGCTCAAAACCATCGGAATCCTCCGTCTGCCGCGCCCCCGCCCTCCCCAACTGTTGGAGTTCAGGGACATCCTGCAGCAAGATCTGGAGGCACCCAACAAGTTCGGTTGCGGAGTACCTGAAGGGAACATCTGAAAAATAAGCGCGTCGCCAGTTGAGCTATTGGGAAGAGTTGTCTGCCTGTGTCAAGGGCAAACTGACTGGATACTACATATGTGTGTGTATATTTATATATACACACATATCTCTATATACATATATATATATATAAGATTAGAGTAGATTAGATCAGATTTGAACTGAATAGAACAGTTTTTATGATTGGCTCGATATCCCGGGCATGCATCGAGCAAAGCTTTGTGCTTTGTAAATCCAGGATCCACATTGCTGTTTTGAGGGCTATGGAGGGGAAATCTCCGGACACAGTCTGAGGGTTTAGAGTTGGGTTTTGGTTTCTTCTCGCCTGGCGACAGGGTTAGGGTTGACCTGGTTTAGGGTTGCTGTGAGTTGTAGGTATCAAGGTTTTTCAGAAAGATGTATCTATGAAGGCTTAAAAGGTTAAGTTGAAAGGCTTGTCGATTTGAAACACAGCGCAGGCATGCGCAGGCACTGGGGAAGACCGGGTTCCGGGTGCAGGATCTCAGCATCGGAGCTTCAGGTCCTGAACCCCAAATCCTATAAACTCAAACACAAAACCAAAAAACCCTAAACCCTATAAACCCTATAAGCCCTACACCTAAGCCCCATAAGCCCTATAGGCCCTCGGCGACGGTAAGCCTTATGAGCCCGAGCCCTCAACTCCAAGCCCCTAAATCTGACCCAGAAGGTTTCCGAAGCCCCAAGTTTCTGAAACACCTACAATAATTCTCGAAACCTTGAATCCCAAAATTATAAATCCGGAAACCTATATTGGCCCTGCAACCTTGAACTCTTCAACCCTGTTATATACAACCTGAAGAAAAGCTACCCCTCAGCAACAGCCCTTACCATGCCGAAGCACTTCTTCAGCAAAGACGTGGGCAGTGACGCGCAAAGATATGAGACCTCACCATAAGCAGGTTTACTTTCAAGGATTTAACGACCGCCGCGGGTTTAGGCTTCAGCACCTATGTCTTCAGGGTAAGTCTTAGAAGATTTGGGGTTCAGGGGTTGGACGCTTGAACTGAGGTTGTAATCCCGCAAACCCCCAGCTTGGCGGCCGGCAAAGGTGTCGCACATCTCTGCTTTGATCTGCTCAAAGAGCTGGCCCTGTGACCCCAGCTGATAGTATCTCTTACAAAAGGGATCGCGGATCATTACGGAATCCAGTTGGGATCACGGTTTAGTTTAGGGTTTAGGGGTGTAGGAAATTCGCAGGGCTTGAAGGGCCCTCACTTTCATTCCTGTCGGCCTTACGTATTACAGGTTTATCTCTATTGCATCTGTTTCAGTATGGCTTTCTCTTTGTACAGCAATGGACCTCTCTTGCTTCGTGTATGGCTCAATGGGCCTGAAGACCCCTTAGTTGAGGGGCGAGAAGCCACTAATGCAAGGGTAGTTCTCTAAATTAGGGTCCCTGTTTAGGTCCTCAGTATAGTACGGCACCCTTA